GTTGCGGCTGGGGGCTTAAGTTGAAGGAATGTTTTCCGCAAAAGTAAAGTTGGGTTCATGGCCCTCAAAAGACCACCACGTTTTCCTTTGTTTATAATTAGGAATGTTATGTTATCTATGTTAAAATAAATTATTGGTTAATAAAAGACTGCTATGGCCATTTTAACTCCAGAAACTTGTTTGCGTATTTTGTATAGCTGGGATAGTGGAAGGTATGGCCTAGCAGGCTTAGGTTGGAAGGCGTGTATTCTACCCTTGTCATGCTTAGCTAGTGTCCGTTCATCTGAAGATGGCAGAATAACCCAACTAGTCATGAATGTTTAGCACCCTGTGTCCTGTGATGTACAATTAAGAAATGTTTTGTCGTAGAAAATAATGGTGGTTTCCTGGTGGCACATGCAGACAATGAGCAAAGTAATAGAGTGCAAGATTTGAGTTATTATAAATCGAACACTATATTACCTGTAGTGCTGAAGGCTAGATACTTGTGTCATGCACAATACCAACCAGTGGCTGAAGAGGACAAGCAATTAACCACGTGGCTGAGATGTAGCAAAAGTGGATTTTGAATATTTTTGCAATGCTAGATGTCCTACTCAGTAAGTGTAGTCAATGAGCATAGGGCCTAGAAAGGTTTTTGGGGCTCCCAAATGAGAGAAAAAAGTATGTTAGTAGGCCACTGGCCTCCTCATTGGTTAGCTACAGGGTTCTCTGTTCCACTAGTAACCAAGCACAGCACTGTATTTCAGTAAAGCTGGCTAGACACTATGTCCATAAGACACATAGAGCCATAGCTCGGCCCCACCTCCCCCACTCTTTCTTCATTGGCTCACTGGCTATGATTGACAACAGTCGGAGCCAATGGCTCTCCCTGCTTTGTCTCAGCCAATGAAATGAGGGAGACCCGGGGCAGCCGAGACTCCCATGCACAGTGCTGAATCGGGCTAAGGTAAGGGGAGCTGTGGGGGGGGGCAGCACACAGAAGGTTTTTTACCTTCATGCATGGAATGCATAAAGGTAAAAAAATCATAAGCCGTTACAACCACTTTAATATCTTTATTTTTATTTGGATTGCACTGCACATGATAACTATTTGAAGGCCATATGAGTGTACATTCCAGGCGCTTTTTTATTCTGCAACATGTGAATGACCAGTTATCTTTTTTATCAATAAAGATATTAACTACTGCACTTGGATTGCGCCCCCTGGTGTTCTTTTGTAACACAAGTCCAAAGCCCTGTGACACGGGCCCTAAAGTATAATTAAAGGCAAAACTTTTTTTTAGTTTTGGATAGAGTGGAGATGGATTAGAATGAATATCCGTTTTTATTGATCTCTGTGCTCCCATTAAGGAAATTCAACCTCTCTATTTGTCCTGTTTAACATTATCTTTGAAGGTGAAAGGAAAAGAAACTCCAAATTTTGGGTTGTCCCCAGAAAAGTAATAGAGGGGACATTTTCCAATGGGGACTCTAGTTCTGGTGACTTGGCTATGGGACAGGAAGCAAAAGGAAATCTCCACAATGGGACACAGCGGACAAAAAATGCCAACAGGGGTTATAACCCTTCCTTTAGTTCTACTTTACCACTTGACCTCCAGAAGGTTTTACCCCCTTCATGACCAGGGCATACTTTACTACCCAGCAGTATGCTACTTTATCTGGCAATTGAGTGGTTATGCAACACTGTACCTGACAGTGACATTTTTCACATTTGTTTTCACACAAATAGAGATTTCCTTTAGTGATATTTATTCAGCACTGGGTCTTCTTATTTTTTGGGATATAAATGAAAAAATACTGATAATTTGGGGGGAAAAAAAGGTTTGTGTTCTAAATTATGCAAACAAATAATCTTGCTAAATGTATTCTGCTAAATTTCTTTAGTAAAAATAACCCAAATCAGTGTCTATTATTTAGTCTGTGTGAAACTTAAAGAGTATACAAACTATACAGTGTGTGTGTATATATATATATATATATATATATATATATATGGAAATCGATCAATCTTGATGTCCTGACAGCCTATTTCATTTCTTGAGGCCCTAAAATGCCAGGACAGTACCAATACCCCCTAAATGACCCCTTTTTGGAAAGTAGACAGTCCAAAGTATTTAGTAAGAAGCATGACGAGTTTTTTAAAGTTGTACATTTTTTTGTCACAATTGTTTGGAAAATGAAAATGGTGCCGCTACGGACCTGAACATAAATCCGTGCAGCTACTCCACCCGCACAGAGAAATGCGGACCCGCGGGCGGATGCCATTAGTTCTAATGGCACGCCGCCTACACTGGAAAACGCAACCGTACTGGGAACCGAGGTTCCCATGTGGGCTGTGTTTTCAGAAGAAGTTCAGGGCAGGGGCGGACTGACCATTTGGAAACTCAGGCACTGCCCGAGGGCCCGGGGTCAGTAGGGGACCCCATGATTTGCCCCTGGTACCTTTTTCATAGGCTTTTTTGAGTTTGGGCAAGGACACAGGGTCCCCATGATCCCCTATTGCCCGGAGGGCTCATGAGTTGTCATTCCGCCCCTGGTTCAGGGACTTCTTCTCTGCATGTTACAGGGCACGGAGTCCATTCAAATTAAAAACATGGCCCACACGGCCGCATATACGTGAACCAGTGGTTATAAAACAGCAGGATCAGCTGAATCATACTTCTCTGTGAAGCAGCCTAAAAAGACAAGAAGACAGTTGCCCAATCCGCCCGATGTTATCAGCCAATCACGTGACAATTCTGTGTCTATGGTAGACAAACTCCCATCAGCTGTCACTAAATTCCTATAAAATCTTATTTGTGCTATTTAATTTAAAAAATCCTTTTGCCCTGTTCACACCGGTGCGACTTCCGGTGCCGCATGCAATTTACAAATCACACCTGAAGTCGCATCTAATGTATTTCTATACCACTGTCTTAATCAGTGCGATTTGAAGTAGCACAGTTTAAAAAATAGTTCCTGCACTACTTTTTGTTCTGATTTCATTGCGACTTGCATTGACTTCTGTTAAATGAAGTTGCAATCCGCAGTGAAATCGGAGGTACAAATCGCACTGATCTGCAGCGTTGAAATCGCTCCACTTCAAGTGAAGTAGTGCACTTTCAAAGTGGCATTCAGCGTGAACCAGGGCTTTCAGTTGTTTTAAATCTGCAGCTTGTGATGAAATATATTAGAATACATTAAATCTAATGATCCTGCCATGGAGGTTCTTGTTCAAGCACTTCCTGTTTTAGGGTGACAACACTCTGTCCCTGTCACCCCCTTACTCTCCTGTATTGTCACTCTGTCACATGTGCTTCCAGTAGAGACGCTAATGCAGACCATACATGGGTCGAAACCCAAGCGATTTTTCGTCAGAAAATCGAAAACGTCGTTCGCTCAGTAATCTGATGGTGCCATCAATGATTTTGAAAATCGGCTGACCAAGTCATAAAGTTCACCCCATATAACAGGCAAAGCTTTTGTTCCTTCCAGGTCACAGCTCATGTGCATATTCTTTTCGGAAAAACGATTGTATGATTTGACCATTGAGTTGAAAATAGGTCGTTTTCCACAAATTTTCCAATCCCGATCCAATCACTTAAAAGGGGAGGAAGGAACCACAAAAATCGGCCATTGACCCACTGACAGAGCAAAAATTGGCTGATTATTCTTAGGTCCGAATTGGTCGAACTTCGACCCATGTGTGGCCGGCATTAGACAGTCTGTCCCAACCTGGGTGACCTGGGGTTCCTCCAGAGGTTCCTAGGGGTTCTTTGAGGGTAAACCCGTGGCATATTGATCTCTTGCCTACACTGACCAATAATGTAAGAGGTCACTACAATTGTCAGTGTCTGCATTTGTTTTTTCTGGCCGTATTTATTATTGGTTTCATTTCATACTATCACTGAATATAATTTAGAGGGTTTTCATACACCCCCATTATTTATTTAAGAATATCTTCAACCTACTGATCACTCAAATGTATCATGAGCTATGGATATCATTTTTGGGTGGGGTTTCCTGAGACCTGAAAATGTTTTCAAGGGTTCCTTCAAATTTAAAATAAAAAAAAAAAAAAAAAATGAAAAGTAAAAAAAATGAAGTAAGTGGTGGTGTCAGTGCTTTTTTCACAAGCTTGGTCTGCTGTTGTCACCATGAGGAAGTCTGCCCTGAGCAATCTCTGCAGCTTCCGCTGGAACACATTCACATTTGTAGAGAGGAAGTGGTTGCAAGGAGGTTGCAGGGGATCAGCAGCACTAAGATACAAAAATAAGACAAAATTAGCATTTTCGAAAAGAAAAGAAAATACGATTTGGCAAAATAAATGTCATCCAGTTAAGTTGGCCATACACTAGTAGAATTGTGTTTGTATGATTTTAGAATTGTAAGACTGGCCAGACACTGATGACACTTTGGGGTTTATTTACTAAAGCTGGTTCACTCAGAATCTCGTCCACTTCTGCATAGAAAGCCAATCAGCTTCCAGGTTCTATTGCTAAAGCTTATAGTGTTACTAAACCCACAACAGTACAATCAGTCTGTATATGCAGTAAAGTGTGCTTGTTATACTCACTGTGGAACCTAAGGGGTTAATCCTCTGCATTGTGTAAAAATGCTGTTTAATCATGTCTTCTCTGATCCTCCCCTTTTTCCATTGTCCTCCACTTATCTCCTGCTAAGACACGTCCTGTGGAGTCACTCTGCACATGCTCAGTTTGGTGTGAATTGCTAGAGAGGTTGTTTTTTTCTTGGGAGAGTGCGTGTGATCAGCACAGGGCCAATCGGCACTGTCCAGACAGAGGTGAGGGGTTCTGCATCCTCCTAGAGCGGAATGAAAACTCCTCCTACAAGGTTTAACCAGTGCTCTGCTGAACACTGATAGAAGTCACAAGACTGCTAAATACTGCTGATGAGAAAAGGTATTTAGCAATTTATATTTACTAAAATAATTTAATTTCCATGTTGTGTGTACTGTGGGAAACCAGATATAGTGAATGCGCAGAGTCCGGGGAGACCAGATATAGTGAATGCAGGGTCCGGGGAGAACAGATATAGTGAATGCAGGGTCCGGGGAGACCAGATATAGTGAATGCAGGGTCCTGGGAGACCGGATATAGTGAATGCAGGGTCCGGGGAGACCAGATATAGTGAATGCAGGGTCCGGGGAGACCAGATATAGTGAATGCAGGGTCCTGGGAGACCAGATATAGTGAATGCAGGGTCCGGGGAGACAGATATAGTGAATGCAGGGTCCAGGGAGAGACCGGATATAGTGAATGCAGGGTCCGGGGAGGATATAGTGAATGCAGGGTCCGGGGAGGCCATATATAGTGAATGCAGTGTGCAGGGAGACCAGATATAGTGAATGCGGGGTCCGGGGAGACCAGATATAGTGAATGCAGTGTCTATAGTGAATGCAGGGTCCGGGGAGACCAGATATAGTGAATGCAGGGTCCTGGGAGACCGGATATAGTGAATGCAGGGTCCGGGGAGACCAGATATAGTGAATGCAGGGTCCGGGGAGACCAGATATAGTGAATGCAGGGTCCTGGGAGACCAGATATAGTGAATGCAGGGTCCGGGGAGAGCAGATATAGTGAATGCAGGGTCCGGGGAGAGACCGGATATAGTGACTGCAGGAGTCCGGGGAGGCCAGATATAGTGAATGCAGGGTCCGGGGAGACCATATATAGTGAATGCAGTGTGCAGGGAGACCAGATATAGTGAATGCAGGGTCCGGGGAGACCAGATATAGTGAATGCAGGGTCCGGGGAGGCCATATATAGTGAATGCAGGGTCCGGGGAGACCAGATATAGTGAATGCAGGGTTCTGGGAGACCAGATATAGTGAATGCAGTGTGCAGGGAGACCAGATATAGTGAATGCAGGGTCCGGGGAGACCAGATATAGTGAATGCAGGGTCCGGGGAGACCAGATATAGTGAATGCAGGGTCTGGGGAGACCAGATATAGTGAATGCAGGGTCCGGGGAGACCAGATATATAGTGAATGCAGGGTGGGAGACCAGATATAGCAATGCAGGGTCCGGGGAGACCGGATATAGTGAATGCAGGGTCCGGGGAGACAGATATAGTGAATCCAGTGGAGAGCAGATATAGTGAATGCAGGGTCCAGGGAGAGCAGATATTGTGAATGCAGGGTCTGGGGAGACCGGATATAGTGAATTCGGGGTCCGGGGAGGCCAGATATAGTGAATGCGGGGTCCGGGGAGACCAGATATAGTGAATGCAGGGTTCTGGGAGACCAGATATAGTGAATGCAGTGTGCAGGGAGACCAGATATAGTGAATGCAGGGTCCGGGGAGACCAGATATAGTGATTGCAGGGTCCTGGGAGACCAGATATAGTAATGCAGGGTCCGGGGAGAGCGGGTGAATGCCGGGGAGAGCGGATATAGTGAATGCAGGGTCCGGGGAGCCCGGATATAGTGAATGCAGTGAATATGTCAGCCCCCATCCTGTCCACTGTTCTTTGAAAACACACTTATTCAGGAAAGCCTACCTCACCTCCACCTAAGAACTGTACTTGAGTCATCTCCATCAGAGCATCCCCTGCAGCTATCACCTTTTGTATCACCTCCTCCTCCTTCTATTAGATTGTAAGCTCCATGGGCAGGACCCTCCTATTCCTTCTGTATTGAACTGTATTGTAACTGTCCTGTCCCCCTTATAATAAAAAGCTCTGTGGGACACTGTTGGCGCAATCTAAATCTTAAATAATAATAATAATATTCATTGGATTTCTTCAGTACAACCAGCCCGCCCATAAATTAAAAGAAATTCGCCAGTTCCTGCTGAACTGGACGAGTTTTGATCGGTCTATGGCCAGCTTTAGTGGGGTCAAATTGACGTTCCCTTTTTTTCACTGAGAAAAATTCAAAAGAGCAGGACGGGAAATTTTTCTTGAACCACCAAATTTCTAACAGCGAATGTTATTTTCCGTTGAGAACTTCCATTCTCTCCAAAATCAAATGTTAAAACATTTTTTTTCGGATGACATTTGTCCTGTCATTGAACGAGATTTTTTTTTTTTTTTTTTTTTTTAAATCTACTAGTGTATAGCCAGCTTTAGCGTTTACATCTACAAGAAAATATTTTTATGACTTTAACTGCTGTATCCTGTTAGAAGGCAGAAGTGCAAAAAAAAAAAAAGAATAAAAAAAAAAAAATAAAAAAAAATAAGGAATGAGCAGGATGGCGTAATCCAAGCAATTATTTGATATAGCGTATTTGTTGTATATGTTCCCCCCCCCCCACCCAACCAGCAGTATATCCGGTAGTTGAAGCCAAGGTCAGTTCCATAGGCTGAGGGCTATCCCTTTCCCAGCATGCATTGCGGCGTGCATGTGTGCAGTCTTGCACGTCTCACTAGTGGTAATGAGGAAGGAGGGAGGGAGATGGGGAGAGAGGACCCAGCAGGGGGTGGAGGAAAAAGAGGGAGCTTCAACCTTCTCCACTGTCTGCTCACCACAAAATATACCGGCAGCCTCCGCCGTCTACGAGTCAGTTTGGTTTCATCACATAAGCCGTGCTGAGTGTTCATACGGGGGGCATCTTGTGATTTCCATAAAGTGAAGCCCCCTGAAGGGCTACAGGGACAAGGGGGCCTCACCATGCTGTAGGGTTGCAGTACCAGGTGTATTGGCTGATCACTATCAGTAGTCATGCGACCTGGAAGACGTGTTCTGGCTCTAGGGCTCATGTCAACGGACCGTGTTTTCCTGTACTTGACACGCAATGTCAGCACATGAGTCAGGAAAAATCCCATTGACTTGTACTGAGCAGTAGACATGGCAATTTAGAGCCTGCGTTGCGTTTTTTTGGGATGCAATTGGTGTCGCAGATCTGTGATATTTTGGCACAAGAAGCTGTGCTGTCCATGTAGGGTGACCACCTCATCCCAATACCGAACACATTAATGACACAGGTTCTGGGGCTGATTAAGGTGGCAATTAGGGCTCTTTCACATGGTCCGGACCCATTTAGCGTATCCTCTTGCTCAGCGTGGGATCTCTCCTCTGATCCTCGCTGAGCAAGCGGATGACAGCTGTGTGTCCCCTCCGTTGCTGCAATGGGTGGTCAGATGAAAATAGACCGCCTGTCTGTTTTCATCCAATTCGATCAGCCCCAGAACCTGTGTCATTAATGTGTTCGGTATTGGGATGAGGTGGTCACCCTACATGGACAGCACAGCTTCTTGTGCCAAAATATCACAGATCTGCGACACCAATTGCATCCCAAAACGCAAAATGCAAAGCAGGCTCTGAATTGCTGTGTCTACTGCTCAGTACAAGTCAATGGGATTTTCCTGACTCGTGTGCTGACATTGCGTGTCAAGTACAGGAAAACACGGTCCGTTGACATGAGCCCTAGAGCCAGAACACGTCTTCCAGGTCGCATGACTACTGATAGTGATCAGCCAATACACCTGGTACTGCAACCCTACAGCATGGTGAGGCCCCCCTTGTCCCTTGGATCCCCATCTGTCCCTTTTTGACAGATCGGATGTTAGCGGGTGTAAACGGACACGTGTCCATTTATACCCGCCGCTCCATAGAGGAAAATGGAGGTTCCAATCGGGTCTGCCTGAAAAACGGGCAGGCGGACCCGATCGGAACGGTCCTGTGAAAAAAAGCCCTAAAATCTCACTTAGCTCCTTATCTGCATTAAATTAACCTCAGGACCTGTGTATATAATGTGTTCGCTTCTATAGGGATGTGGTGGTGACCAGGGGCGGACTGACCATTTAGGCGCTTGGGCACTGCCCGAGGGCCAGGGGTCAGTAGGGGGGCCCCATGAGATGCCCCTGGTACCTTTCAAATGCTTTTTTTTGGGTGTGGTTTGAGTGTGGGAGAGGACACAGGGCCCCATGATTTCCTATTGCCCCGGGGGACCCCATGAGTTCTCAGTCCGCCCCTGGTGGTGACCCTACGTCCATGACACCTTGGATTTGGCTGATGGAACGTTCGTGTGTTAGAGCTCTTAGTGATAAACCCCTTTGATCAGTGTTTGGCCATCCCTGCTAAACAGAAGTCGATTGTTTGATCAACTCCTGTCGAAGGGGTCCTGTTGGAGAATTTTGCTTGCTCATCGTCTGCCAATTGGTCTCAGCTGCTGATCATGTATTTTGACATCAGCCTCTCCCTCTATCAGAATACAATGTCCTGGAAGGGGGGATTCCTCTTTCCACCTTGTTTATGTAAATGGAGGCATCTGGGGTTTTTTTTCCCCGCTGGTGGAACACTAAAATCGAACCATCTGTGGTCAGCTTAAACCCTAGTATACACTATGAGAAGATTGGATGACCGATTGGGTGATTTTTTTTGCTTTGCGTTGCACTGCGTTTTTTTTTTTGGGATGAAATTGGTGTTGCACAGAGCTGTGATATTTTAGCACAAGAATCTGTGCTGTCCATGTAGGGTGACCACTTCATCCCTTTAAAACCAAACACACATTAATGACACAGGTTCTGGGGCTGATTAAGGTGGCAATTAGGGCTCTTTCACACAGAGCGGACCTTTTAGCGGATCCGCTTGCTCATGGGGGATCTCTCCTCTGATCCTCGCTGAGCAAGAGGATGACAGCTGTGTGTCCCCCTCCGCTGCTGCAGAGCGGACACAGAACTGCTCGCTCTCCTCAATGGGCGGTCAGATACAAAAAATACACTTTAATGAATCTAATTTTGTTAAAATATAAAAGATGACGTTGCGCTAAGTGAATAGACGCCTAACATGTAACAATTTAAAATTGCGTACGCTTGTGGAACAGTGCCAAACTATGGTACCTAAAAATCTCCGTAGGTGATACTTTAAAAGCCTTTACAGGTTACCAGTTTAGAATTACACATGAGGTCTGGAAATAAAATGATTGCTCTCACACTGACATTCTCGCCAATACCTCACAAGTGTGGGTGCGATCATCGTTTACATGTGTGTGGAACCAGGGGCAGACTGACCATTCGGGTACCCGAGGGCCCGGAGTTAGTAGGGGGCCCCATGAGATGCCCCTGGTACCTTTCATAGGTTTTTTTGGGTGTGGTTTGAGTGTGGGCGAGGACACAGGGGCCCCATGATCCCCTACTGCCCGGGGGCCCCATGAGTTGTCAGTCCGCCCCTGCGTGGAACTTATGTATGCTCTCGTGTTTGTGCATAAGCATGGGGGAAGGGGAGGGGGCTTTACATTTTTTTTCATTATTTGGATTTTTTTTTTTATTTGAAACTTTTTTTTTACACTTTTTATTTCTTTTCACATTTTTTTGCTTTCACAAGCGATGAACAACATCCCTTGTGGAAGCATGGGTCGTGAGAGGTCCCCTTTATGGACAGATCTGGAGCTTATTAGACCCCAAATCTCTCCTCTGGCCTCCAATGCAGCCGATCAGACACAGATTGGTCTGATTGATTGCTTTCCTGGCCGCTAATTGCCAGGTAAAACAAAGAGCTGAAATCAGAAGTGATGAAACCCTTCTGGTTTACAAAGTCACAGAGAGGGAGAAACAACAGCAGTTCCTCTCTCTTTCTTTGCGTAGTGCTACCATCAACTCCGGTCACAGAGGTCGGAGAGCCCGGGAAAGGCGTAGGGAAGTGGATCCCCCTGCGCCACCTGCAGAAAAGTGATTGAGGGGCTGTTTGACCACTCAAATCACTTCTGCCTTACAGGATATTGCCAGAAAATTTGGATACTGGGATGATGCCTGCAGGTTCAGGGATCATCCCGGTATAACTACTTTAACCTGAGGACGTCATATGACGTTCTACTGGTAGGAAGTGGTTGAATAGGAACTTCAACCACCCCCCTACCTCAGATTTTCTCCCCCCTATTACCTTTTTCAGTGGGTTATCCAAAACATATTCACATGTTCAGCAAATCCATCAGTGTTCTGTAGTAATCCACCACTCTGCTGCTGCTCACTCCCGCACTGGCATGTTCTGCTCTGACATCTTTAGTGGTTCAGCTATCTCTTTTGGGTTCTTGCAGCACGTGTCATGGCACGTCATCAGGGGGTCAGCTGCAATAACTAAGTAGATACAACCAGCCCCTGGATGAAGCACAGCAGCCCATGCACTGTTGAGTACCCCGAGGTTTTCTGAAATTCTGACATACAGTCAGCCATAAATATTGGGACATCGACACAATTCTAACATTTTTGGCTCTATACACCACCACAATGGATTTGAAATGAAACAAACAAGATGTGCTTTAACTGCAGACTGTCAGCTTTAATTTGAGGGTATTTTACATCCAAAATCAGGTGAACGGTGTAGGAAATTACAACAGTTTGCATATGTGCCTCCCACTTATTAAGGGACCAAAAGTAATGGGACAATTGGCTTCTCAGCTGTTCCATGGCCTGGTGTGTGTTATTTCCTCAT